AGGTATGTCCCTATGAAAACCATTAGCGGCAGTCCTGAGCTCCTCGAACAGTTTGGCAGACATAATAGTTATGTCGGCTCCCCCATCCAGTAGGGCTTCATGTGTGACGACTCCTTCAAGTGTGATCGACAGGTAAGCATTTTTAGCGACCCCCTTTCTGATCAGGTTACACAGGAACCTTGTAGGTTTTGGCTGACGTTTCTTCTTATGTTTACCTTTACCTGTGTAATCCCGGTTTTTCCGAACCGTTGGTGCAGTTGCTGCTGCTCCTGGGAGTTCAGCTTTTGACGGGCCTCCGTCACTGATATATGAGATCACCCGCCCACTGTGTGTTGAGGGGCTCTCATTGTTTGTTATAAAAAGGTCCTGGTGACTGTCCGTGACAGCGGCAACGTTGTTGTTTGTGTCACCCTGGTTTGACTGAACCGTTAGCACAGCTGTTGCTGTTTCTGAGGTTTCAGTTTGTGACGGGTCACTGTCGGTGACGTGTGATTGTACCCCCCCCTCTTTCAGGTGAGGGTGTGTCAGAGTTTACAACAACAGCGTCATGGTGACTGTGACAGCAGTAACGGTGTTGTCTGTGTGCTCTGACTTATCAGCAATGATATTGCCAAACAACGCGTTAGGTTGTTTGTCCGTGGCAACACCTTCCAACAATTCCAAGAACCGACGCACACTCTCTGTCTCGTCCGAGCTTAGAGGTCTGCGGCTCTCTTTCTGGACCTGCTGCTGTTTCTTTTTCGTCTCAGGCTGTTCAGTCCGACGTAGTGGAGAAGCAGGTCCCCCCCTCTGGGGTTCCCAGTGGGATCCCTGTTTGTATTGGTCACTTTTGGTGCCATACTTTTTACACTTAGGGCATTCACCCCCCTTCTGGTACGTTCATTCATCCTCTGGTTTCTTGGGAAACCATTTAGGATCTCGTCTGGACCAGGGGGCACTCACCTGTTGTGGTTTGGCTGCTGGGAAACCTCGTTTCCTCTCACTTTTTTTGGGAGGGGGAGCTGAAGCACTCGTCCCTTCCATTTCTAATGACTGGGCAGGAATCCTCTCACCTGGGAACACCTCAATGGGTGTTTTGGCCTGTGAACGGGCTTCAAAGACATTCACAGCACAACTTTTTATCTCATGAATGGATTTCTCTTTGACATTAGCCATCATTTGCACTGACGTGCTTATGTCAGGGTGGAGATTTTTGCTGAAAACGAAATTAAACGCTTCCTCCTCCTCCATGCTGGTCTCGTTCCTGTAACCAAAATTAGCCTGCAAAATCCTGGAATAATATGCCCTTGGGTGCTCATTCTTACCTTGCATGACCTTGTCGGCGGCTGGATAAAAGCCAGGTCCCGCGCAAGGGGAATACTCTTTCATAAAAGCAGCACATAACAGACGGTAATCCTTTCTTGTGGCATCAGGTTGACGCTCTATGAAGGAAAACACCGTCCTGGTTGAAGTGAGCCTGATCAAACCTACTTTATCCTCAACTGTAGCGTTGGGATAGCTTCTTAATTGGAAGTCAAGGTCGTTCAGATAGGCCTTGTGATGTGATGTATGACTTCACTTTGTAAACGCACGCCTTGTTGGACTAACGCTGCATTTTCCAATCTGTACTCGTTCAGAGCTTTTGATGTGAGCTGCACCTCTCGTTGTAGCGCATCCTTGTCTGAACACAGTACTTGGTACTTAATCCCAGTTTCACGTAGCTTCACCTCATATGAGTCTGCTTGTAACGACAGCTGAGCTTGTGAGAGCTCTCTCTCACGTTTTAATTAATTTGCCCAGGTCTCCTTATCAAATTTAGACTGTGCCATGAGTCTTAGATACTCCTCTGTTTCGCTGTTTAACCTTATTGCAAGGTCTTCAGCTTTGTTGGCTTCAATATAAAATTTAGCCTTCAGCAAGAGTGCAAATTTATCCAGATGTTCATAGCTTGACTTTGTTATGTCTGCAGAAGTCACTCTTTATGCAACATCCTTCAGCTCATCCAATAACTCTGTTGAGTTCATGCTGTCCACCTGTTCACCATATGGATGTAAGGATTCTGTTAGCAGCGTTAACGCTCTTTCTAACCAGTCCTTCCCACCACACGGAAAAATATTTGTTTCTGTCACATCTGCCATGGTTATCCACTGTTCAGCAAACCTATCTGGTTAAACAGTTGCAAACTTAGAGTTTTTAACAGGTAAATATATTTTTTTAAGTGAGCAGTGAGATTCACACACTATTTTAGCTCTGGGTTCAATCAACAGTACTGTTAAAAGCCAACTTTTCAATAAATGGCCCCTGTGGAGGTCTTATCCCATAAATATTGTAAGTAAATGCCTCCTTCTGGCAGTGTTACTTAATTATGAGCTTATTTTTAACAGATACCATGAACCAGGCCTTTTCAGTGTTAATTTTACTCAAGTGCACTTAAAATTAATAAACCTGCAATTTTTCTAAAAGTCTGACATCAACTTTAGTGTTCAAACGCTTTTTTAAGCAGTTTTCATTTACCAGAATTCGCTATTTAAACAGGACACAGAAACCAGGCTCAATTAACAAAACAAACAAAAAAAAAATACATGAAAAGCAGTGTTCAGCTTTCTTTAAGGAAAACTGTTATACTCCTTTTTCAACAGCAGGTGGCGGTGTAAGCTTACTTTTACCGGTAGGAGTCTTTTGACAACTTCCTGTAAACCAAATGCAAATTGTACTGTTAAAAATGTAACAAATAGCATAAAACACAGCATCTGAGGCGGCGCCCAGCTCCAAACAGCTTTTCATCCATTTAAAACATGACTCGTTCAGTCCAATAAACAGAACCGAGTCGGACAGCAGAACCTCCGTTCATGCAAGAGTTTTAACAGAATAAAGCGTCTTCCCCACTGCATCCAGCTTAGTTACACAAACAGATTTATACCTTTCAGCTTTAACAAGAACACATTGACTTAATTGCAGCTTTCTGAACACCACAAGCATGACTTATAATGTCCTTTCAAGCTCAAAACTCGGACTCCCATGTGCCAACACGCAGCATTATCTCAATAGCACAGAAACTCGTGTCACACAGAATTTATATCTCTTCAGAAACCTGTTCGGCCACCAAAATGCAGAAGGTGGGTTTTAAACAGGGGATGGAGGATAATTTATCTCTTTAGAGACCCGTACACGGCCACCAATATGTAGTGGTGTCAGGGCCAGCTTTGCTGCACCTCCACTACAATTATTTAAATATAACGGGTTCTCTCTTTTTCAAGTTAAATTTCTGCCATGTGACGAGGTACTGTGAGGATTGTTGAAATCAGTGACATGAGACGTTAATTTCCTTTAACCCATCAGAATAAATGTGGTCATTTATTTAACAGAATCAAAATTTAACATCAAAACATGTACACGTGATTAGCTGATCTGGTTCTGATTAATAAAACTTGGCACGCTTTACTAATAAGACAAAATATAATATGGCAAAATAGAAGAGTTGTAAAGGAAGGAATGAAGAGAAAAGATGGGTAAAAGGGGGTGTCTGTTCGGACCAGGATGGCACGCTCCCTTCAACACCAGCTCAAACCTCCGGTACACTTGGCGCGTCACGACTCGTTACCTTTGCAGAAATTAATCATCTCCGGTGTCGGGTCCATTTCAACGCTACCTTCCAGCGTCTCCGGTAAGAGCGGCTGGCCATCGTCAGGAGTCGTGTCGTTTACTCCGTTCAACAAACACGCTCATCTCCCGGGTGGATACACAGCAAGCTGTGAGTCCGTCAGAGGTTCCACTAAGGAGTGGAAGACTCCATCAAAAACTCAGAAGACTCACCAGACCCAAACTCAACTAGAAGACAGACTTGAAGACTCAGAAGACTCGAAACCCTCACCAGAGTTCCAGAGAGCCGAGTTCACTACACTAATGTATTTTATTTTATTTTTTTCTTTCGGCAGTTCCCTTCTTCAGGGGTCGCCACAGCGAACTAAGTCACACGAAGACTTGGCAATTATTTCTACACCAGATGCCCTTCCTGACGCAACCACAGATCACCGAGCTACCACAGCTCTCTGTGTGGAGCAGAGAGCTGCTATCTGGGGTGACTTGAGGAGCAGATGATGGTGATTAAGGGCCTTGATCAAGGGCCCAGAGTGAGCCAAATGACGACAGGACAGCCCCCAGAAATCATCTGATCACCAGAAAACTGGTTGGTCCACTAAAAGAGTGTACTGCTTAGTGGGGAAAACAGTTTACTTGGGACTCCTCAGACTGAAGAAGCCCTCTGGATAGAGTGTGAAACGTCTTTCCACAAAAAAGAAACTGTCCAGATGACCTGATTGACCATTATTGGATCTTGTACCTGGATGACTTAGTATGAACTTTGATGAGGTATTACTGCATTTCTATTCTTGACATGTGTTTTTGTCTTTCTTCCAATAGGGGGTACACCTGCACCTACACCCGGACCTGCCATTCTGTGCTCATTTGTCTCTCCTTCCTGTCCTCTCAAACCCAGCCGGTCGAAGCAAATGGCCACTTCTCCTGAGCCTGGTTCTGCTGGAGGTTTCTTCCTGTTAAAAGGGAGTTTTTACTTTCCACTGTTACCATTGTGCTTGCTCAGGATGGGAGACTGGGATGAAGTGAAGAGTCGATGCATTTGCTGGCTTCCTTCCTTAGATAAAGAACTTTACTATTGGGCTTTTGTGTGTATTTGAATGTTTCTGTTCAGTGCCCTGAGACAACTTCTGTTGTGATTTGGTGCTAAATAAACAAACTGAATTGAACTGAATGTGTGTCAAACGTCTTCCTTGTGTCATTTACTAATTTTAACAAATTAACTGACTTTAGCAATCTTTTTTGTGGTAAACTATTTAAAAAAAACACAAAGTTGTTGTGCATAAATTATTATTATTTATTTATCCTGTGCAGAAGCATGTGTGCACATGGTTCGATAAATTTGAACATTTCAATGCGCACACAATTTCAAATTTAGTCCACACACCAACTTACAGTATGAAAGTTGATCCTGATTGTGCACTCACCTTGTGATCCACCAGAAGGTTATTCTAGAGAGAAAAGAAGCTCCGGGCTCAGGACATGGATTCTGCACACAAAGACATCATAGTTCAACCTTAAAGACAATGCTTCTGAAAAATCTGTCTTCAGAAATAATGGGGGAGGGAAGAAAAACCTTTTTAGATGTGAAAAGAACTTTCATCTGGGCTATTTTTATTTCCTACAGTTGCCAAGCTAACTCCTAATTTTATTTATCAAAACTCTCTTGATCGAGAGTTTTACTCAATAAAATTGTGCACCTGTTTACATTTCATTGGTCAATCTAATCTTCATACAGTAACACATTTTTTGTTGTGACTAATAATTATTGAAAATACATTGTACTCTCTGAATAGAAACCATTTAATCAGATTAGTCATAAAATTAAGGCTTTGTGTATATATTGAGATTTGTTGTTCTGGTTTAGTCTCAGGAAACCAGACTTTATGGGTATTGCCCATAGTTTAAAGGACTGTGCTAATCTGAGTGTATAGAGTTTGAAAAAAGAAATAAATGTACACAGTGCATTTTGAATCCAAATGTGAGATGACCATTTAGCTCAACCTTTGTAGTACTGCAGATGATAATCAGTATGTAGACATGTCAGTGTGAAAATGAGGTGATCTTACTGTGTCTTTGACTGCCTGGGAGAAGAGCGGCGGTCGATCAGTCAGAGCGGATAGGATCAGAGCTATCAGCAGCAGAGCATAGTATATATAGAAGGTGGTATATCTCCATATACAGACCATCTCTGGCTAAACGAAACAGAAAACAAAATTTATTTCTTTGTTTTTGACTAATTAGCTATAAACTCTTGGTTCTGGATGAATCAGTCACATTATGCAAAGAGTTATGGTAGTATCTCATTGGGCTACGACCAGTTGGCAAATGGCATTCAGGAGGGAGTCTCCAGGATGCGTTACAATGTTTGCAGTGGTACGGAGTTTGTTTGTGAGTCAAAGGTTTGTCAATTTAGTTTTATACAAAACTAAAAATATATACAGCACACAGTAGTCCCTCGCTACTTCGCAGGTCAATTGTCGCAGATTCGCTATATCGCAGTTTTTCAAAGTAAGATTGAACATGACACAATTGGCTGATTGATGGAGCCATGGATCGTTTATTTAAAATTAATTTATTTAAATGATTTTGCAGCATGTGTGCAGTCCACAGGTGCAGGGGAAAGCTCCTTACTGCACCTGATCAGCCGATTTTCTTCTCTGCCACACACACATTTCTCCTGCTGCATCAGCTTTGTGAAGAGTTAACCCTTTGCTGTCCAGATGCACCAATCAACTTTTGTCTTCCAACTTAAAATTCAAAGTATGTCCAAACATCCATCCATTATCTTTAACCCGCTTCTTCCCTTTTTAGGTCACGGGGGTCGCCGGTGCCAATGTCCAGCAATCACAGTGCGAGGGGCGGGGTACACCCTGGACAGGTCTCAAGTACATCACAGGGACAGAGAGACAAAAAAAAACTTCTGAGGCTACTTACAGTCCCATATGATCAGGTTTAAAAGCCACACTGATGATAAGAATAAATTACAATAGGCCTTCGCAGCGCTTCACTGCTCGTGCCTAAAAATCTCTTTCCCAAAAGGTTAAATTATTAATGTGGGGTGGCTGCCAAGTGGCTACGAAGTGTGCAGAGGCCAGTACATTTTGAGTGAAGTTAGGCAATGAAATAATGGACATGACCAAGAATGTAGTTTTGCAAATTGCATAAAGGAAAAAAGGATGTTGTTTTCAAATACTGGCCATTTAAAACACAGCAACATGGCTCGCAGATTAGTCAGAGTCAGCGATTCTTTATCGTCGTTCCACCATATGTGGTACATGTGGTGGAACGAAATTATGAACACAGGGTCCCAGTAACATCCAACAATGAAATGTAAAATAAAAACAGTAATAACATCTAAGATATGAACTAAGAAAAACAAACTAAAAATAAACTAAGCACTAAGTGCGTAAAAACATTACATCAAACAGCAGCACGGACATGAGCATGAGTTTGTGTGAGCAGATGAGCACGCATGAACACATCAACATGGAACAGATCATTAGCAACATTGAAACAGATCAGCAGCAACATGATGTGATTTTTCACAGTGATTATTCTGGTTAGAGATTCATGAGTCTAACAGCCTCAGGGTAGAAGTTGTTCCTCACTCTAGTGGTTCTACACTTAATGCTCCTCAACCTCCTTCCTGAGGAGAGTGGGGCAAAAAGTGTGTGTGCTGGGTGAGTGGGGTCCTTCATGATGCAGGTGGCCCTCTTGATGCATCTGGAGGTGTAAATGTCTGTGATGGTGGGGAGGACGACTCCAACAGTCTTCTGTGCAGCCTTCACCACTCTCTGCAAAGCTTTTCTTTCTGCAGCTGTGCAGCCTCCATGCCACACGTTGATGCTGGAGTGGATGCTCTCCACTGCACACCTGTAGAAGGAGGCGAAGACGGAGCTTCCCAGACAAGCTTGTCTCATCCGCCTGAGGAAGTAGAGTCTCTGATGAGCTTTCTTGATCAGGCTGGTGGTGTTGTTGCCCCAGCTGAAGTTGTCATTCATGTGTACACCCAAGTACTTGTAGCTGGAGACCACTTTCACCGCAGATCCTCTTATGTTCAGGGGGGTATAGGCGTTTATTCCTTCTGAAGTCCACCATCATCTCCTTTGTCTTCTTCACATTGATGTGAAGGTTATTCTCTTTGCACCAGCTCTCCAGGTGTTCCACCTCTTGCCTGAAGTTGGACTCATCATTGTTTGTGATGCATCCTACCACCGCTGTATCATCTGCAAATTTTACAATGTGACAGCCTGGATGGGTAGCTGCACAATCATACATGAGCAGAGTAAGCAGGAGGGGGCTCAACACACAGCCCTGAGGAGAACCAGTGTTGAGGGTTATGGTGGAGGAGGAGAAGTTGTGGATCCTCACTAACTGTGGTCTGTTTGTTCAGAGGTCTAGTATCTAGTTGCAAATGGAGGGGCTTAGTCCTAGTGCGAATAGTTTGTCCATCAGGGTTTGGGGGATCATGGTGTTGAAGGTGGATGTGAAGTCCATAAAGAGCATACGGACGTAAAAGTATTTCTGCTCCAGGTGGTTGAGCGCAGTGTGGACCACAGAGGAGAAGCATCCTCTGTTGATCGGTTCTCACGGTATGCATACTGATGAGGGTCCTCATCTGATCGGCCACTGGCCGATAGTCATTCAGACCAGTCACTGTAGAGATTTTTGGGACTGGGATAATGGTGGCAGTCTTCAGGCAGATGGGAACTGTCTCCAGGGTAAGTGAGGTGTTAAAGATGTCTGCCAGCACCTCGCAGAGCTGATCGACACATACTTTCAACACTTTTCAGGGGATGTTGTCTGGGCCGGTTGCCTTGTGCTGATTAATCCTCCTGAAAGTATTCCTTACTTATGCTGAGGTCACGCGGAGATGCTCTTCATCCAGTGGTGAGGTGAGTCTGGTGCTGGGTGGCCTGTTCGGGTCTTTAAAGCATGCATAGAATTTGTTGAGGGCATCAGGTAGAGATGGGTCTTTGGGGCATTGTTTGCTCTTTCCTTTATTATCTGTTATACACTTAATACCCCTCCACATGCTCCGAGGTTCTTGTGAGGTGAATTGACCCTCGATCCTCTGTGCATATGTAGCCTTGGCCTTCTTAATACCAGCAACCAGCTCATTTCTTGTCCTACTCAGCTCCTGTGAGTTTCCAGACCTGAAGGCAGTGTTCCTGGCTTCCAGCAGGGTACGCACCTCTGCATTCAGCCAAGGCTTCCTGTTCGGGTAACATAACATTTAACATATCTTATGGTGGAGACAGTGTCTGTGCATGTGCCAATGTATCCCAGAACTGAGGTCCAGATCAAGCGATCCTCCATTTTCAGCAGCTTCTCTGAAAACCTACCAGTCTGTTTGTTCAAAACAATCTCTCAGTATGGGACCACTGTCCTGGATCCAACATTTAACTTTCTTTTGTACTGGTCTGGAGCGTCTCAGCGGGGGGAGGTAAGCAGGAGCCATTAAGATTGAGATGTGATCAGAGAATCCTAGGTGGGGGTGGGGTTCGGCTTTGTATGCATCTTTTACGTTTGTGTAAACACGGTCCAGCGTGTAGTTTCCACGTGTTGGTATGCCCACATGCTGGTAAAAACTTGGGAGGCAGTCCTTTAGATTCACGTGATTAAAGTCTCTGGCTACCACGTAAAGAGCCTCAGGGTGTTTGTTCTACAGCGAGCTGAGGAGATCATGGAGCTCCTGCAGAGCGTCGGTAGCATTGGCATTCGGAGGAATGTAAACAACGGTAACACTGTGAACTCGCAGGGTAGATAATGTGGTTGACATTTCACTGTTCGTTGCTCCAAAGCCTTCGAGCATTAGCTTTTTACAACAGTACAGTTTGTGCACCAACTTTTACTCATGTAAATGCACACTCCGCCTCCCCGTGATTTCCCCGTTAGCTTGCTGCAGCAGTCCGCTCGAAAAAAAGTCTGTCATCCAGCTGAAAGATTGTATCCGGTGTTTCACTTGTAATCCATGTTTCCGTGAGGCAAAGCACCGCACACTTCATCGCTTCTGAGGCACCCGCTCTCAGACAAAGCAAATCCATCTTGTTTTCCAACGAGCGGACGTTCGACAGAGAGAGACGGCATTGGGAGTTTTCCAGCTTTAGCGTTAGCATGTAGCCTCACCAGAACCCCCACCCAGCGTCCTCTCTTTTAAAGCCGAGAGCAGCGCTTCCTCTTGTGCCTGTTGGAATGCCTCTGCTGCAGCTTCCAGGTAGATGACTTTAAGATCTGCATTCTGCTGAGCATAGTTTTGAGTTTGTTGCCGATTTCTGCTATATTTTGTGGCAAATCCGCTCCTATTCTCATCAATTCGGTTCAGCTATATGAACTATAGTTCACACAAATAAATCGGGTTAAGTCAGGCACAGAGTCAATATCAAAACTTCTAAACACTGGGATAGTACCGGGAGCCTGTGAAGCTGCAACTGCTCTGAGCATGGCCATCTTGGTAACAACACAAGACACAACACACTCTTCAACAGGTGAGACTACAACAAAAAAAATCAACTATTTTCTCTGTCACAAATAAGATGTCACAGCCCAGTGAGGTACATACTTTATTATTGATTGTTTTCATCTGGATATAGCTCAAATTGGTTTTCAGACTGACTTGATTCAGCGCCTGGAGGATCTTGGACCTGAAGGGGATTGTGGCACACAGCAAAATCAGCAGCCAGAAGATCAGCATGACTCCAGATGACTGGACTCCTTTCAGCCGTTCGTACTGGATTATCAGGGTGCTCAGCAACTGCAGCACAAACACATTAAGGACATTGACACTAATGGTTGAACATAATGTACATTTTGTTCTAAATTAACTTATAAAGAGATGTTCAGGTCCACATTGAAGTGGGGTTCTGTCAAAAAGGTTAAGGACACATAATATTACAGGAAGTGTTATAGCTTGCTGCTATGGTTTGCATTTGCAAACTGTTTTAAATATTCTGAATATTCCTTTACAAAGACAAAGGCAATGCACAGTGGTGCTTGAAAACTTGTGGAGCATTTACAATTTTCTGCATTTCTACAACAATTTTCTGCATTTCTACATCAATAATGACCTCAAACATCTTCAGATTTTCATAAAAGTCCTAAAAGTAGATAAAGAGAACCCAGTTAAACAAATAAGACAAAATATTATACTTGGTCATTAATTTATTGAGGAAAATGATCCAATATTACATATTTGTGATGGTAAAAGTACATGAACCTCTAAGATTATCTGTTAATTTGAAGGTGAAATTAGAATCAGGTGTTTTCAATCAATGGATGATGATCAGGTGTGAGTGGGCACCCTGTTTGATTTAAAGAACAGGATCTATCAAAGTCTGCTCTTCACATGTCTGTAGAAGTGGATCATGGAGAAACAAAGGAGATTTCTGAGGAGCTCAGAAAAACAGTTGTTGATGCTCATCAGGCTGGAAAATGTTACAAAACATCTGAAAAGAGTTTGGACTCCACCAATCCACAGTCAGACAGATTGTGTACAAATGGAGGAATGTCAAGACCATTGTTACCCTCACCAGGAGTGGTGGACCAACAAAGACCACTCCAAGGCGTGGAATACAGTCAGCGAGGTCACAAAGGACCCCAGGTTAACTTCTAACAACTGAAGGCCTCTCTCACATTGACTGATGTTCATGTTCATGAGTCCACCATCAGGAGAACTCTGGAAAACAATGGTGGTAATGGCAGAGTTGAAGGAGAAAGACACTGCTCTCCAACAAGAACATTGCTGCTTGTCTGCAGTTTGATAAAGATCAAGTGGACAAACCAGAAGACTGTTGGAAGAATGTTTTGTGGACGAATGAGACCAAAACATAACTTTTTGGTTCAAATGAAAAGTGTTACGTTTGGAGAAAGGAAAACTGCATTCCTGCAGAAGAACCTTATCCCATCTGTGAAACATGGTGGTGGTAGTATCATGGTTTGGGCCTGTTTTGCTGCATCTGGGCCAGGATGGCTTGTCATCATTGATGGAACAATGAATTCTGAATTATATCAGAGAATTCTAAAGGAAAATGTCAGAACATCTGTCCATGAAGTGAATCTAAGAGAAGGTGGATCATGCAGCAACACAATGACCTGAAGCACACAAGTGGTTTTACCAAAGAATGGTTCAAGATGAATAAAGTTCATGTTTTGGAATGACCAAAACAATGAGGCGGCTGTGGCTGAGTGGTTAGAGCAGTCGTCCTCCAACGCAAGAAGTTGGGGGTTCGAATCCACCAGCAGTCACATGTCGAAGTGTCCATGGGCAAGACACTGAACCCCTCATTACCTCTGATGTGTGTCCCATCGGTGTATGAATGTGATAAAGCTCTGATTAGTCTCTTTAGAATGATTTGTTCAATTAGCTTTGTAGAGATCTAGTAGAGTGCTGTATGAATGGGTAAATGAGGACACAGATTGTTGTGTAAAGCGCTTTGAGTATCTTGATCAGATAGAAAGGCGCTACCCAAGTACAGTCCATTTACCAAGTCAAAGTCCTGACCTTCATCCAATCCAGATGTTGTGGAAGGACCTGAAGCAGCTGTTAATGTGAGGAAACCACCAACATCCAGAGTTGTTCTGTACGGAGGAATGGACTAAAACTTCTCATAGCTGAGCAGCACTGATCAACAGTTACCAGAAACATTTACAATATTATACAATGCAATACAACTTTATTTATAAAGCACTTTAAAACAACACCGTTAGCCAAAGTGCTGTACACTAACACATACAAGCATAGAAACTATGAACTTAACAAATACCATAAAAGTAATGAACTACCAAATCATAAAACAGCAAACAGTAACAACAATAAAACAAAAAACATAAAACAATAAAGCCAAAATTTCAAGCTGCGTTAAAAGCCACAGAGAAAAAATGAGTCTTCAGAGCAGATTTAAAAACAGGAAGTGAGTCAGCTTGTCTGACGTGCAAAGGCAGCTCGTTTAGTTGAAGTTATTGCTGCATTGGGGGGGGGGGGGGGGGCGGGGGTTTCACACCAGATATTGAAAGCAAAGGTTCACATACTTTTACCACTTACAAATATGAAATATTGGATCATTTTCCTCAATAAATGAATGACCAAGCATAATATTTTGTCTCATTTATTTAACTATGTTTTCTTTATCTACTTTAAGGACTTGTGTGAAAATCTGAGGATGTTTTAGGTCATATTGATGCAGAAATATAGAAAAATATAGAGTTCACAAACTTTCAAGCACCACTGTAACTGAAAGTAAATAGAAATGTGAAGCAAAATTAACAATTGGTACGCTGATTATTCCCGTTGCTGAGGGGTTTATTGTAGTTTTAGAGAAGCGTGTTTTTCTTGACTGGAATTGAACAGTAAATGCAAATAAACTTTAATGTTTTTGGTGAGTTATACTGTGAAGAACAGAAGTAGTTTTTCTTTTCCTTGTCCAAGGCAGCACAAAGTCAAGGATCCTAGAGAGTGGAGGGAGAAATTTGATCCATGACCAGGCGCAATGGTGGAGCCAGGGGATGGCAAGTGGTGACCTTGGCCACCATAGATTTACCTTTGGCTACCCCAGTCATTGAAAAAAACTATACTTTTAAGCAAAAATACAACCTAGAAAGTATACTTTTCTCGAATGATTTGGATGGTTGGTTTATGGTGGTGGCTAGGGCTGGGCGATATGGACCAAAATTAATATCTCAATATTTTAAGATAAATGGCGATATACGATAAATATTTTTTTCTTTCCATAATTTTTTTTCTTTTCTTTCAGCTGCTCCCTGTTTTAGGAGTCGCCACAGCGAACTAAGTCGCACGCAGACTTGGCAGTTATTTTTTTTACGCCGGATGCCCTTCCTGACGCAACCACAGACCACCGAGCTACCACAGCCCTCTGTGTGGAGCAGAGAGCTGCTATCTAGGACTCCCGGAGGAGCAGATGGTGGGGGTTAAGGGCCTTGCTCAAGGGCCCAGAGTGGGACGAATGAGGGTGGGGGCAGGTGTGGGTGCTTCACCTACCCCACCCACATTTTTGATGTTGTCTGTACCGGGGCTTGAACCAGCAATCTTCCAGTCACAGGCCCACCTTCTCTAACCTCTGCGCCAACACTCCCCAGATTTTTTCTTTCCATAAAATAATAACAAAAATATATTTCTGAGTCAAAGCTTTGTCCCAATTGTCACACAAGCACCTTTATTAACAAAGCTGTAAATGTACAAAATAAATGCCTAAAATATACATATATTTTCCTCCACAACAAAACTAAAAATACAGCTGTGCACTTAAAATTTAAACATAATATATACAGAGCAAACTTAATGAAAGGCTGACTTGCTCTTTAAAAAGTCTGATTCTATTGAAGTATATTCATTCAGTCTTTAATAACCTTTATTAACAAAGCTATTAGAAAGCCCACATTGTGGTTGGCTTTTTTACTGACCTTGGTTCTGTTTGGTTACAGCTCATGAGCTTACAGCTCATTTTGAATGTTATAGTTCCTATGCTCTTGAATGCACCGTGGGTTTTCCGACACTAGTGAATGTACCACTCTATGTAAACAAAGTGCAGTTGGAGCTTTTCTCTCCCGACACAGACTGAGCCTTGCTGCTTTTGTCGCGCTTCTATTTGCACTTTAAACTGCTGTATGTAAAATACCTGAAGAAACACAGCAAATAAATCACCCTAAACTTGACATTTGTCACCATGTTTTTTAATGAAAAAACAACTTCATACCTTCCTCAAAATCCTATTCTGTCCGACCATTTTTTAATAACCTTTGAGTTTACATTAAATGACTACACAGTCAGAGTAAATTTCATCTCAGCAGGTGCTTATCATAAAATGCTGTAACCAAATTTAAACGATCTCTTTCATCTATGTTTTCCTCTATCTTGCAGAGTAATTAAAAAAAAAATACCTTATTAATCCCAAAGGGAAATTATTTGTTGTTGTAACTTGTTATCCTCATTTCATTAAGAGATGTTATAGATGCTGATGGCTGTAGACAGGAAGGATCTCTTGTAAAGGTCCATCCCACAGTGGATCCTAAGAAACTGGCTGCAGATGCCGTCTGATTCGTCCACACAGACTCAGGTGGCCTCTCGGTTCCTCCGGGCTGTAGGACCGCCCAAATGCAGGGCAGAACTCCTCCCAGTGCGATGGCCACTCCTCCCAGCAGTCTGCTGAGCTCCTCGTCGCTGCGGACAGCCAGCTGTAGGTGTCGAGGGATGATCCTGTCTTTCCACTGTCATGAGCCGCGTTTCCTGCTAGTTCCAGGATCTCAGTGGTCAGTCACTCGAGCACAGCTGGCAGGTAGATGAGAATGCATCCACAGAACATACTTTTCAACTCATTTGAGATTCGGGGCTGTAGTTGAGATATTATTTCAGCTTTTGAGATGTTAATCAGCTGCTGTTGGTTGTAGAAAACTGCCTTGTTGCCATGGTTACGCATCATAACAACTGTCCAAAACTAAAAAAGTTTCAGTAAAAATCCTTCCAGCTGCACAGCATCTAATACCGGAGGAAACAATCATCTAAAAAAAATGTGATTTGCATCCAGAAAAAGAGGAATTAAAGTTTCCAAAAGCAAAATCTCAGAATGAAAGTAACAGAGCTGCTCCAACATGCAGCCACCTTGAGCGGCGCAATTCTAGAACCATGCATGCAATGCATCAGAGAACAGTGACTTAGATCATCTAGTTGATCTTACAACTTCATTGCAAACTTCACTTGATCAAATTGCTCCACTGAAAAAGAAAGTAATCAATCAGAGGAAC